GCACGCACGCACGCACACACACACGCGCGCGCGCGTATGGCAGGCGAGGTGGGACACAAATGGTATTTAGTGACTATCATATATTAAAAACACAAAGTTAATTGTCATGTTCAGTGCCTCTATTACCAGAGCCCTGTAGCTCTGGAGACCTTGAGGCTTTCAACCACCGTGACAGTCATTAAATCTACCAATCAGATACAACTTATTTTTTCTCAGTCAATCATAGGCATGGAATTATTGACAAACACTAAATGATTTAATGATAGACACTAAATGGCAGGCGAGGTGGGACACAAATGGTATTTAGTGACTATCATATATTCCATTTAGTGACAGTCATTAAATCAACCAATCAGATACAACTTATTTTTTCTTAGCTAATCATAGGCATGGAATTATTGACAAACACTAAATGATTTAGTGATAGACACTAAATACAATTTGTGTCCCACCTCGCCTGCCATACACGCGCGCGCGCACACGCACACACACATACACACACACGCACGCACGCACGCACGCACGCACGCACGCGCGCGCACACACACACTCTCTATTCTTCTTTCCCTGTATTAAGTTACTTAAAAAGAGTGAATCAGCGAACCTGGACAGCGTTTGATAATCGTTAAACAGGAAAGTTAATTGTCATGTTCAGTGCCTCTATTACCAGAGCCCTGTAGTTCTCTGGAGACCTTGAGGCCTTCAACCACCGTGCCAGGTCCTGTGTGCTGCAGTGGCTAGGCCGAGTGCAGTGTAGTGACCCGAGAAGAAGAAGAAGAAGAAGAAGAAGAAGAAGAAGAAGAAGAAGAAGAAGAAGAAGAAGAAGAAGAGTGCATGCTATCGACATAACCGTTTTATTCAAATGATCACGGGTAGACTATATGTTTGACATATATTACGTTTTAATTGAAATTTTAGTTGCACGCATGAATTTTAACTACAAGACAACGGACTATATAAGACCTATAAATATATAAAGGAACGTACGTCATAACAGCACGTAGATAATCTAACTTCCATGCGAGTGATATATGATATTTTAACAAATTAGTACTAGAGCATATATTACTGAAACATAACGATATTTTATATAATGCTTCAGCGTAAATATATATACATATTCGTCTAATAATCTATTCCATGCAGACATACACTCGTAGTAAAATAGTCGTGATAATAATATTTCTTCTATTACTAATTGAAAAATCACAATTACTACTTGATACTAACACGAATTTGTGATCGTTACGGCGTTTTTAATTATATAGACCTCTTAGATATAGATGTATCCAATATTTTGTTTTGAACGGACCCACTTCTATTATAGCTCATCTCACTTAGCTATTCAATATGCATGCCTTATGATAAAAGTTTAAATTTAAAAGCCATCATATTTACAAATATTCGCGCAAGGCATCTATATGCCCATGGATGGGCGTCGCACAACCCGTATACTAAGCGGTCATGGCTCACATATAGGCGCCAACCCTAAGAACTTTTGGATACGCTCGCAAACGTGAACATATATTTGCCTCCATTTCACGTGCGTCAAATAGATGAGAGATAATCGCGAACCGGCGCCATATCCGGCATACAGCGTACACGTAGCCACGTAGGTATTTACGTATTTATCAAACACAGTGACACGTATTAATTTACCTGAACAACATTGGCTTACGCCAAATAGGGATATAATTAGCGTCTTAAAATTTATACATAATATCGGAATTCCTTGCTGTGACTGCAACTAGCACTGCGACACTATCCTAAACGTACCTAGTTTCTGGTGAATAATATATTCCAGCTTCTATGATTCCTTCCAAATAAAAGCGATATATATATATATATATATATAGGCCTATAACTTATATACATTCATACATACACACACACATACATATATACGTACGTACATACGGACGCACGCCCGCCTGCCCGCCCGAACGCACACAATACTGTCTTCATAAACACAACTGTCTTCATATATATATATATAATAATAGTGTTTAGTGTTTTTTTATATGTATTCTAAATATGTATCCTTATTACGCTGCTACCCAGAGCAGTATGTGGTCTGAGTTGTAGAATTCTGGCTCTAGTCCGTATGTTCACCTGGAGCAACTTCCAAGTAAACTTGCATAAAAACTGTAATCTTGTCTGAAACGAAACGGCAGCGACATTCAATGTTATCGTTAATATTTATAGAATCGATATAAATAATCTCGTGTATGACTGTCAGACATGCTATAGTTCACACATACACTGGTGCTATTATTTCAGTTAGTTAGCAGACAGGTATCAGTTAAACGTCGGGCGAATTCCAGAAAATACTTACCAAAGATATGCAGGTGTATCTTGAAGTAAACAAAAGGCACATAGAAGAGGATTCCAGCGAATACAATAAGGGCTGCATACAAGTAACCCAGCTGAGGATCATCAACTATAGGAGCAATGACGAGGTAGATACTGATCAGCGTCACCACCACGGCAATGACGAGCGGTATCTACAGTAAAAAGTAGTTACGGTTACCGTAATATTACTACAGTGCAATTACCATGAATTTCTTTTTAATCGTGAATGTGACAGCATTTGTATTTAGGAATAAAAAATGAAACGCGTATAGTAAATAACCTATCAGATGCAAATAAAATTACATTTGTTATTTGCATGCATAAGCAGAATATATGCAATAAGTATACCTTAATGGGGCGTTCCATATCTGGCCTTGTCCAGCGCATCACAATGAGTGCAGTGAATGTTGCACCGTAGAAAACCCAAGCAGTAAAACTAAAGAAGTCTATCAAAGCCTCTATGTCACTAATCGTGACCATGATGATGGCAACGATAGTCTGCGGGCAACGAAAAATGTACATACATAAGTACGTTACATAAGTACGTAAATACAAAAATTCATGGAAACGTCTGAAAATGTTTTTGACGAAACCTACTGTTAATCTCATGAAAAAGTGCGTTACCTAATAGGTTATAAGTAATAATATAACAGTTTACTGGCGCGTAATGGTAATGGTTTAGGTTGAGAAGGCTGTTAAAAACAGAAGTAACAGTATTTCACTAGAAGGGATTTTCACTATCTCACACTAAAACATCATACTCACTTGGAATATAAGAGCAGGCGCAGGTGTGAAATATTTGATGGAGATGTAGGAGATAATGGATGGTAGGTGACCTTCTCTGGCAGATACCAAACACAGCCTACAACGTGTTATGAAAGCGGTTTGCTGTATAGTAGAAATATTTTTGACAGAAGTGCTCAGGTTTCCACCTAAAGCCCAACGCACACACCCGAGCAAAACACCGGAACGTGGAGCGAAACATGTTTCGCTCGATGTTCGTGGCTGTGTGCGGATTCCCGAAACAAGAAACATTGCTCAGCTGAGCGTGTTTCGCTGAACAAGCAATGTTTGATTTGCGGAGCGTGTTTCGCCTGAGCGTATGTAACGCCACAGACGGTCTCCAATCAATATCCTTAAAAATATCACATGACACACAAAATTGGATGTCCATTGGATGGCTATTTTGGATGTCATGTGACAGCGGCGCTGTGCGCAGTGTTTCTGTGTGCTTTGCGCAACCGGCAGTTAGATGCGATATGATATGACTACTAGGCACTTTAATTTAATTTATATCTGTAGTACCTGTTACGACAACGACCCCTTGAGCGTTAGTAGTTGCTGAAAAAGTACTAGTAATTATATATGTTATCTGGTAGGCATTTTCACTCGCCAACAGGGCTGGTCAGCCCAGACATTCTACTAGCCCTTACTGATTTCTACTAGCCTCGGGCGAGCGGGCGAGCGTTAGTTTCAAGCCCTGAGGAGCTAAATATAACAAGGAGAGGAAGCGCCGCCATATCTGGCCCAATTATTTGCCATATTTGGTCATATTGGTCCAGAACAGATTAGTGTTCTATTGTCTCTGGGGGACGGATCTGCACAGCCGTTTCAGCTAATTATGGTCCATAGATGGCGTCCTTGAGGCGAAAAGCACACATCCAATCCGCTTCCTCTCCTTGTTATATGTAGCTCCTTGGTGCGGGCTTGTTCTTGCTGCCAGTGCTCTCCACGTGCGGAAGGTACATAGTTCCCGCTGACTGGCTGGACTAAGTTGGTCCTGCGCATCCCTAATGGCTCGTTCTATAGCCCAGCGGCAACGGTACGCGGGCTATAGTTACTAGAGCTAGGGTAGGCATAAACCGACCAGGCTCTCCGACTCACAGGGACTTGAGGCGAAAAAAAAAAAAAGTGTTATATACTGTTACACCACATAGTGTTAAGCGAGATGGGAACTTGTGGCTAGGGTAGGCATAACTCTAACCCTAACCTTAACCATACCCAACCCGACCACCCCTAAATTGTGGGTTCGCCCTCACAGAGTGCCCGGGGATTAGTCTTTTCCGTTTGACGTCACACGGTGACGGTCTTTTTTTACATGATCTTGATCGTGCCACGCCTAGTGAATTTAGGGCTCGAACCGCATTGTCGCACGTAAACATGACCTGATCGCAAGCTAATACCATGAACATATTACGTATTCTCAGATAGTGACTTAGTTTAATGTTAAACGGCTGAACGACGACCACATTATAGCTCGAGTAAACATTACCGCTAACTTTCAAAGGACGCTGACATACTAGTGACGTCATATATCACGTGGCCTCGTTAACTTCGTGCCACTCCCGTTAGGTGTCGCTTTTATACACAGAAACCACAAACCTAACAAGTTTGAAGTTTCTACATCTTACGGTTGCAAAGATATGCAGCAGACACACACACACGCACGCGCACGCACGCACGCACGCACGCACGCACACTACATCACCACAACACACACGCGCGCCGCGCCGCGCAGACACACAGCTCTACGTATGGCCTGTACGGGCGTATTTGGTACGCTCGCCCCGAAACTGGAGCGACTCCTAAGTGCGCGCATGCGGCATATCTGCGCGGTAGAGTCTGACTAACGAGCCCGTACACACCGGCGTATTTTGACGCTCCGCGCGGAACTGGCACGCTCATGAAACTTACTTCCGTGAAATGGTTTAAATAATGAATGTTAGATAATCAATGGGAGGAGGAGAGCAGGGGCGGAGAGGAGGAAGAGGAGAAGGGGGTTGGGGTGTGTTGGGGAAAGAGGCGGAAGGGGGGGCGGGCCGAAGGGGCAGGAGAGCAAGGTGTATGTTCGAGTAGGGGAGGCAGAGGAGGCGGCAGGAGGGGAGGCGGCGCACGCAGGAGGAGAAGGTGTTGGAGCGGGGGGAGGCGCTAAGGAGAAGGCGGAGCAAGTGTTGGTTCGGAGTGGCGGAGGCAAGAGGAGGACGACGGTAGGGGGGAAGGTGAGGGAGCGCCACAGGAGGAGGAGGAAGGAGGAATGTGTTTGATTAGGGAGGAGTGAGGAGAGGAGGAGGGAGGAGGAGAAGGGTGTTTGAGTAGGGAGAGAGAGGCTGTTGAGTACGCGGAGGAGGAGGAGGGGGCGATGGGCCAGGAGGAGGAGAAGATGTTGGAGTGGGGAGGAGAAGGAGGAGGTGTTTGCGAGTCCGG